TCCCTTCCAACCCAAAACATTCTATGATTCTATTCTGTTCTATTCCCCATCTGCCAGGTTGAGGCACGATCCCATGAGGGAAACTTCTCATACAAGCCCTGCTTTGTGCAGGGACCTTCAGACACACTCCCAGGGCACACCTACTCCTCCTCCACCTACAGGCACCAATGGTTTTCCACTTCTGGGCTCCGACGTGGTTGGAAGCATTTTCTAAAGCTCTGAACCATCACCTTGCTTCTCTCTGACTTCCCTCCACACTGCCAATCACTGCCTAATTACTAACTGAAAAGTTCAGAAGCTCTCAGGGCCTTTCATCTCGTTCTCTGGGGATGACCATGTTTCTCCATTCACCATTCATGGATCCCAAAACACCAGTTGAGGAAGCACATCAAAGTGTGTGAGGGGAGGACCTCCCTGAGGCACCTCTGTACTCTTTGAGGTCTAAAGGCTTGTGCAAGGCCTCGTGAGGAGTTTGTCAGGTGCTCACATTTGTACTGCAGATGGCTGGTCTGCAATGGACCAGGAATGAGAGAGAACTGATGTCAAGAATGTCGTGGGAGGAGGGGGTTGAGTTAATTTTCTTCCTAGCATGCCATATGGTGCTGTTTTGGTTTATGACCAAACCGGTGTTGATAATGCACTGATGCTTTAGCTATGGCTGGACAGGAGTTGCACAGTGACAAAGCTTTTCCTCAGTTTCTCATGCTTTCTCACCAGAGAGTAAGCTGGGGGTGGGCAAGAATTTGGGAAGGGACAAAACCAGGACAGCTGGCCCCAACTGACCAAAGAGATATCCCATACCATATGACATCATGCTCAGCAATAAAATCTGGGGGGAAGAAGGAGGAAGACACTTGGAGTTATGGCATTTCTCTTCCCAAGTAACCATTACCCGTGATGGACCTCTGCTTTCCTGGAGGTGGCTGCACACCTGCCTGATGATGGAAATGAGTGAATGAATTCTGTATTTTGCTTTGCTTGTGGACACAGCTTTTGCTTTACCTGTTCAAATCTCCTCCTCTTGACC